ATACTGAATTGACCCTTGTCAGGGGCTAGGAAGCTTACCACTAGGCTTAGTAGGGCTCTCTTTTGTCATATACCCTCTAGGCGGGCGGCTTCAGCCGCTTGTCTATATATAAGTAAGCTTTAGATAAAGCTTTATAAGCTTAGGAGCCGTTTTTTGATAGTCTTTTAGGGTTATCATATGGTTATATATGATTTAGGGGCCTAATATATATAAATATCCTTATTTTTCAAGCAATTCTATATAATTTTCTCCTTTAGATACTCTTATTCTGTAAGCTCTCCTTATAGCTATATACTTATGTATATAGCCTTAAAGAGCTTGTGAAGCTAATATAAGCAGGAGATTATCATTCATAATAGCCTATATCAAGCAGACTATATCTACACACAAAGCATATACCACCGCCGCTTATACTATAGGTAAGTTATAAGATCTTAGGAGAGTAATACTATAAGCTTATCAGTAAGGCTAATCAAGCTTTATAGTCGCTATCTACCATACTGCCACTCCTAATTTTAGAGCTGATGATAATAAGGATGAAGATATTGCTTCTAGTTTGTATACTTACGCTATCGTTAGAGCTTTATTAACGATCGTATAGTCTACCCTCACTATGCTTACCCTACCTAGAAGGCTAAGTATAATATCTTTTGTCTAGATTATATTTAGTCTATACTTGCTAGAAAGAATGATGGCTGATGCTTTGATACCATTAGGTATAGGAAGCATTACTTTGGCTATACTTTCGGTTATTCGTATATATCTATCCCCACTATTACTTAACAAACGGCCGGTCTCCTATATACTACTTTATAATAAAACCCTTCAGCTTCTGGCGTTATAAGTAAACTTAAAGACAAGCTTTAAGATATACTTATCTTATACTATTAATATGCTTATTATTGATAGCGATCATATAAGAGAAGAATCGTTTATATATTATCTTATATATAATGCTTAATAACATTCTTATAATAAGGAATAAGTAGGAGAATAAGGCTGACAAGCCTAAAGAGAAGGAGGATGATAAGAAGGAGGAGTTTGAGAATAGGCTAGACATTGCTATACTCTCTCCATACGTTTAAGCTATATATACGATCATTCGTAGTATAATTGACAATGTTTTTGCCTTACTCTACCAGTAAGTAGTATACTTTATACTCTAGCTTTGTTTGCTTAGCGTTTTTGTTTTTAATTAAATTATCATAATAAATAAAATCTATAGCTTTACCATACTTACTATACTCTTTATTAAGCTCTCTCTTTATGCTAAAATTAGGTTAATAAGTATAAGATCTATTTTCCAAATCTGTCGATCTTAACTTTCTTTGTTTATTAGAAGCTTTTGTTTACCCTTGATAGCGTTAGATATATAAGGCGATCAGTAGAAGCTTTTGTAGACTGCTTCTTTCTAAGTCCTTTGCTTATCTATTTATAGTTAAGCTTGTTTTATTTCTACTTACTATCTCCTCTTCTCAACTTAATATACCTTCCTAAGCTTAACATACGTACCCTACTGCTGACAACGTTTGTGCCACACCTTGCTTAAGCTATGTGAGGAGTACCTTAGCCGGTAAATCTGATAGCGTTTGTAAGAATACTGTCGGTTATAATGCTTACTATTAGCATTATGTAAGCAGTCACCAGTATATTATAGTATCCGCCAATATGGTACCTTTAGCTTACCAATTAACTATAATAATCTAAGGAAATAACTAGATTATAAGCATCTTCATTCCCTTAGTCTTAATATAAGCGTACTAACTATTATTAGGATACTTATCGCCTTCATACGACGATCTAGATCATTTTGGCCGTACCTTCGGTCCTACCTTCGGCAGCTTCAGCTATCGCTCTAGCGTCAGCTCTAGAGCTCGACACCAACGTAATTATAGCAATTAGCATAGGAGGAGATAGTAACAGGGTGTCTACAGTTATTCTTGCTTGTTAGGCCAGGGTTAAGAGGCTTCTAAGCACTTTGATGGATGAATTAGTAAATTAGATTGGCTTTTTGCTTAATAGATATCGTTTTTCTCCTTTACCTACTCTCTTTTGGCTTTAGTACTTACTATAGATTGAGAAGGGCCCTAAAGTGCTTAAATTGTTAACGAGTAAGGTTCTTAGTAAGTCTATCTATAGATATCTAGTCTATAAGAATATAGGTGACCTTGAATGAGCCTGCTAAATACTCTTGTTTAAGCTATATATTATGAATATCGATATGGTATAGCTTAGTAGCCAATCTTATACTTTCTTCAATCATTAAGTAGATTGTTTGCTGGTTATTATAATAGATATTCTAAAGCTCTCCTAAGTCTAAGCCTATATTCTTAAAAAGACGTTTAAAAGCCATCGTTTCCTTCATTATATAAGATAATAAGAGTAGCTTAGCCTTAGTTATAAACGTTATTATAATATTTTGCTAAGTAGCTTACCATATAATTGGTCCTCTAAAGAGTGTTAGAATATAGCTATCTGACGACTGTCTTATTTCTAGATCGTCAACAAAAGATATATTACTAGCGATCAGTAGAGTCTATGCTTCTTTATTCTATCCTTTATACCTAATGTCTAAAAGGTGTATCGTAAACAGATAATGGATCACTTAGGCTGCTACTATAAAGTACGTTTTGTTTAGGTTAGTAAGGAAG